GGGGGGGGCGGGGGGCTGGACCGCATTTCTACATATGTGGTCCATAAAGTGCAAAGCATCCATCTTAAAGATGGATGCACATAGGTGTTCCATCTAAAACCGATGGAAACTAACGGTCGTCCAAATGTTTTCTTATTAAATTTATTATTTTTAGCTTTTAAAATTTATTTATTTTTTCATATTCATGATGTCCATGTTAGATATTACATATCTTTAAAAATTAAATCTTAAAATCCATCTCAAAAATATATTTATTAAGAAGCCTGCATTTCTACATATGCAAGCTTGACTACTTAGAAACTGGGTCCTTTTCTAAAAGAAAGGGTTTCTAACTTTTAAGGAAGTTAAGAACAATGTCTCAAAACCTGAATCTTTAGGGCTTATTGGTCACCCACAAATCTATCAAATCATTGGATCAACGATTTGGATTGGGTCTGAATTAGTCTAATTGGTGATCTAGAAAAATATTAAAATTAAATAAACTAAAAATTAAAATAGGCATTTATGGGATGGAGATTTAAAAGGGACTCAATAAAATATTAGATAAGCTCAAAGAAAAATAAAATAATATATATCTATATATATATATATGAGGGTTTTAAAGACAACTCGAATTAGAGTGGTTCGGTCCCAACCGATTCCCATCCAAATTGACGAAACATATCAGAAATCGACAGGTTTTAAAACACTGATCAAAGACAAGAAATTCTTTTAGCCTCCTATTTTCCATAATTTTTACAATTTCTTTGGGACCTTGCCTAGAGCATGTCTTGCAGTCATGTCAGGCTTGTGTCAGGGTCCCATTTACTCAGCTAGACCTCATCCGATGCGACTCGGACAAGTTATAGTCGACTCGCCATGATTTAGACCACAATTTGTGGTCATGTTTGTTGTTTGGATTTTTAGGATCCATGCCTTCTCTTTCATGTGAGCGCAAGTAATAAACTAGAATTTGTCTCGCTAACCCACAAATTTTGGAAACTTAACCTCTTCAGCCATAGACTAATCTCAATAGAAAAAATTTCCAAATCTCTCTGTCTATGGACTTTGAAAAATATGTCTAAAGATTGAAGATAGGCCGTCTAGGTATGAGATATTAGTATTGGAAAACTCAAAATTCAAATTTTTCTTTTAAAAATAATCATCTAATGATTATTAGGTGGCTCCCACAATTTAAAATTGAAAGAATTCTCCCAAGTAGGTTTTTTAATAGAGGTACTAGATCTCAACTATGCTCTTGCAAGCGTAGTATACGTGCTTGTTTGCATAACATCTGGAACCTCCACTTCTGCCCAAAAAACCCATCAAATAGTGGTTATTTGATAGTGAAAAAGTACACAAAGAAATTATTTATTTTTAATACAATGAGATCATAATCACTTTTATATGTCAAATTTCAAGTCGGATGGTTGTGAGTGTCATTTACTAGATCAAAAGTCCAATTTTTTTTTTTTCGAATGTTGTATCACTCCCCAAGCCATCCAATAGCTAGTATCTATTGTGATCTTCTTGTATCAAAGATAAACGGTATACAATCGATTTGACATGCGATAGCTAGTATCAATTGTGATCCTTCTTATAGCATACAGTCCCTTTGATAATAGCTTGTAAGATAAACAAATAATACGTGATTACAACATATAAAAGACCTGAAAAAAAATCGCTCACGTGCTCAAATCAACTAACTTATTGTTACTCTTGAAAGATCATTTCTCTAAAGTACTTCCTCAATTATTTCGTTAACAATTTCGAAGATGCTTATACTCTAGGTTAGGAATTCCAAATAAGTAAAAACATTTTTGTTAATTTGGCACATTTAGTAGTACAATGATATCAAGGAAAAAGTTTATATAAGGTATCAACTTTATATAGTTGAAGTATGACCCCTCTCAAAAATCTATCACAAAAAGTTGTTCGGCCTTACAAAACCCTCTAATCGATCATCTCAACCTCGAGATGTATAGAAATAAAAAAAGAAATAAGTCCATAAATAATGCATATTATAACATATCATCCAAACCATCCATTTTCAAAAATTTCAAGTATTTATAAATGTACCCTATATGCACCATTTTTTTAATTTAAATTTCATAGTTAATGGTTAAAACTTAAAATAGATTTTTAGGCCCAATTTTTTTTTTTAAAAAAAAAAAAATGATTTTTAAGTCATGACATGATTTACCAACCCCAAAATACACATTTGAGCATATGGTCGAGACGTTATATACAATACACGTACAATAGAAATTATACAACTTTATATACACTACACGTACAATAGAAATTCCATGCTTGTTCTTGGTTCCAAACTGAGGATAGAGTTTTACCCTTTCCATTCAATTTTCAGACTCATAAATCATTAGACTTGATTAACCCAAGGCAAATGATATATCTCATAATCCCACATTCCAAGTTTCAAACATGTACATATATTTTTTATTATTAGAATTTATCAATCAATATTTTGAACCCAAAATAAGCAAAGCCATTTTCGTACATTTACATTTGCTAGTTCAACATTCCAAAGCCAAGAATATGAGTATTTCAAATATGGGATTGTATACAATAAGACTATTCATCTTTAATACAGAGAGGTCACACTTACTAACAATCATATGATGTGAAATCTGATTGTTTAAGTGTGTCACAAAGTTTAAAAAATTTATTTTAAACTTTGAGCTTGATCAATGAAATAAATACAGCCATCCAATTTCACATTCAATGATCAAGATTAATTGTGACCACCTTGTATCAAAGATAAATAATCGTATTATATACTTCCTTTCAAATATTCTTCTCACAAAATAATCAAAGAGGTACGAGTTAAATCACTTTTTGCTATCATATTAATTTTATAGCGAATAACTTGGTTGATCTTACCAGCTAAGTGATCTTTTAAGGCGGTTTGACCATTTTGATGATCATCATTGTCGTCATCATCATCAACGCCTTTTTCCTACTAATTGAAATCGACTACATGGATCATGATCTACCATTCTGCTCTATTAAGGGTCATACCCTCAGTGAGAGTATAAGTCCACATATCTTTTCTCGCTCCTTCCAACCAAGTCCTTTGGAGCCTACTACTTTCCATTTTTGAGTATTTCTCTTAAAAACTATTTTTCTTTATTCCATGTGTTAGGGAAGAACAATGAAAACCAGTTCTCAAAATATTGAAAAATACAGCCCAAAAAAAATAGAAAATTAATTGGAATATTCATTTAAGTAGAAAAGTATGTGTAGGTTATCAGTTGTGGCGTCAGAGCTTCTAAGAGGTCTCTGATCCTACAATTTAGTAGCCAAAGCAGGCTTTGGAGTCCTCAAAAAAAAAAAAATCTTATGCCATTATAGCTCCACTAAACAGCTTGACCATCTCAATCTACTATAAATTCTTACCAAGTTTGGTGAGAATTTGAATCCAAAAATTTCTGGGGAATTCTTATTGAACTTAGTGATAATTTGAATCTAAACATAGTTTATGGGATATGTTTTTGTTGAGTCAGCCAACTCATGCATCACCCCCGGTTCTCAAGGGTTTTAGGAATCAAAACGCATCTTAGATTACTGCAAACCCCATCCAGTTTCAGCATCTATGAATTTGGAGCTCCAAAAACCAATGCAAATCTGATTATTTTTTAAGATTTAATGCACATTCAAAAAAAAAAAAACAAGATGGACCAATTTTAGAATTCAAATTTCCTCTTTCTTTCAGATTCAATATCCAGGTGATCGATATGATTGATCAATAAATTTGGGACGGTATGTCCATGGATGTCCCTGAACCTTCAAATTTAATCACAAAACCATTTTTTAATTCAGAACACACCTGCTCCATTTGCCTGTAAAAATTACAGTCTGAGTAGTTTGATGTGTGGCCTCAAAGAGATAAACATAAAGCGAGATTACCACAAAAGAATGGTGTGAAACCGCAAGAGCAATCTTAGAAACTTACAGAACCAATGATTTTAACGATCGAATCAGTTCCAGATATGCATTCATCCTCTATGTAAGGGATGGTCTTCCATGCCTTCAACTTGATCATCCCACTGCTATCAACTTCTGTAAACACAAGAAGTGGTCACTTGGGAACAAAAGCTTCATTGGAAGTTTTTGAACGGTTTCACAACTGCAGTGGACTAAACTATTCTGAAATCAAAATAATTTGGAAATAATTCTAGATTGGCCATATAAATTTATAACTGAAACTTGGCATTGAAATCTTGGTAAGACATTTCTGTGTGTAGTAAATCTATTTATTTTAAAAAATATATATCATCTATCCAAGATCTAAAATTTTGCTTCAAACCCCAGCAAAGGACAAACTACTCAATTATGGGAGCAAGTCGGTCTTCAATAGATAGACTGGATTTGCTGTACCATTGCTATTATCATTCTGCTCCATGCAGATTGCAGCATAGTGTGAATTCGCCAACTCAAACAGTGCAAATTGCCAAGTTGATGAGACACCAGCTATGTTTCCAGAAGCTTCTAGAACTATGTCGGATTCCTGCAATTCAAAGCCAAAAAGATTGACATCTATAAGTAAAAACTTCCTTTCCTTTTAACTAATAAACGTCATTATTTTTCTGATAATTCCTACAGAAAAAAAAAAAACCCAACTAAAGAGAAGCCACAAAAAATGCCCTCCAACTATGAAGACAAATAAACAAGGAGATTTCACTATAACCATGAGGGTAATTAAAACAGCTAACATCAGATTGTAAACATACTTCATTTAGAGATTTCAAGTCCCCCATGGCTCTTAGATGTATTGTAAAATCCTTAAAGGGTGCTCCCGAAAATCCCCTACCCAATGCCTTAACATATGCTTCCTGCAAAACTCTCCATCATGGCAAACTAAAAAGCATAAATTGTGAATACTCCATAGGGATAATGGCGATTCAAAATCCATTTATACAATGCAAAATCTAAGAAATCTCCAGCATGATGCATTATTGGAAATTAAGGATCCCTTCAATACTGCAGATTATTCCTTCTCTGTTAAGGGAATCACCCTCTTCTTTTTATTTGAAACTAAGAAATTTTCTTTGAGCTGATCTAATTTCCAGATATTGTGATACGTAAAAAGATAATCTCACTCACCTTGAGAGTCCACAACTTCAAGAGTTCTTGTCGTTGAATCTCAGGGTCCTTTAGGGCACATAAATACTCCACTTCCTGGGAGGATAAGTAACGTTTAGCGAAAGAGAGGATGTCATTCCTCATCTTCCTCTGTTTCTCTTCTACATCGATGCCAACCTTTTGATAAAAGAATAATCAATTCTTAAAACAAAATTTCCCACAAAAAATATTATAGCAGCAACCAATTTTAAATCATATTTGGGGAAATAAGTTACGGAATTTACAGGAGAGTCTATGGTCACACCACAGGCAATTAATGAAGAAGTATGTGAGAGGTTGAAGTGCAAGGACGGTGGAACCTGATGTGCCCTAGGTTGCCATTCTACCTAGCCAAATAAATAACATTTAAGAGAGAGAATAACAAATAATAAAAAAGACAACGATAAGAAACAACAACAACAACAACAACTACCCCTATCCAGTGCCTTAGACTGGAATACAATGTCAACCTAATAAACCGAAGGGAAGATATAGTATAACCAATAGATAAGGGAAAACCACAATGCACTGAGATCATCAGTATTCTATGATGATGGATAGTGATGGAGTGAGAGTGGAACTGATCGTTAGGGTCCATTCCTTTTCTTACGAGTCCCACTAACTTCATCAGCGTCCATCATTCCATTGGATGGTGATCACCCCAATGAAGTCCGTTTCTCCATAGTCCATCAGGTTATAGAATATTTCCCTATACCAAAATGTTTATGATACCTATGATCTAAAAATTAATATTAAAGCAGGCTTCTTCAAGCATCAATTAGATTTGACTGTATACCTCCGGCTTTCCATATTTGTTCTTCCTGAACTTCAATGATTCAGGGCGTTCTTGGGAATCTGTATCCAATGTAACACAAGATGGGTCCATCAATCAAAATAAAAGGGATATGATGATAAATCAGTTCATTTGTTGATTCAGCAAAACCTTATTCATGTTTGGTCAGGTTCTTAAGCACAGCATGCTTGTATGAATATTCAATAGCAATATATTAAAGATGCCGCAACATAAATCTAAGAAAAAAGAGAGGAAACTTTAACTTTGACTTAAGGTCTGCCAATTAAATTAGCAGAGCAATATTGTAAAGAGTGTGATTGCGAAGGATAGTTTATAAGAAGGTAGATGCTTTAGAAAAAAAAAAATGGGCATAATACTCGAACCCTACATCTAGCCAGAGTGGTTCGCACCAAAGTACGCGTAATTAGGGCATGCTTCTGAAGCTTATCTCCTCCCATACGAGATATGTCTTCCTTTTCCTCTGGAGATAGTAGCTTTGCATATTGACTCAAGAGGATTTTGTCCTCTACCTCATCAGGCATGACATACCAAAAATGGGCCTCTCTGCACATGAAACAAAGAAACGAGTTTATATTATACCTGAAATCCTAACAATTCACGTATGCCACTTTTGGAAGTGGCATTTAGAAAGTGCACGTTTGTAGTTCGTGGTAAAATGTGCGTAAAAAGTAAGAGAATCATCCACTATTAAAGATTCTACACACCTATAGTGTCAAAATCGAAGAAAAGGTATGGAGTAGGTAACAATGGAAAAATACCAATCGTTTTAAGGGTGTTAACATGTGACTGATGGTATTAGAACCTAAATCAGAACCCCAACTGGTCTTGAACATAGAACCTGGGGGAATCAGATACCAATGGCATAAACTACCAATGGAGAAAGTCCAGATTGTATTAAGGGCATTGACATGGCCATGAATATATATGTACGCATGTCTACCATTCAACATATCATCATGATGGGTTTTGGCAAAATTTTACGTTGGCTGCCTACCTAACACAACCATGCCCTTTTACCCGGGTATGGGATGGGTTAAGGGAAAGTTTAAGGTCATCACCTTTCTTAGACCAGTCTAGCATTCTACATATATGTATGCAAATATTTTACATTCCATGTCAAAAAATTCAACCCAAGTCCCCAACAATTCTAGGGTAGATAAGGAAGCTTTATTTTGGCATATTAAAGATTAATCCCAATAAGAAAAAGAAAACAGAAACCATGAACTGCTTTCATAGTCAATGGCACTACAGAGATATCATATGATCATCAAGGACTTCAATGCGCAACACTAAACAACTATGCACATCCAAATTCCAGTTGATATTGAAATATTTTTTCTTTTGGTGTCTACAATGTTTTAATCAAATTGCATATTACGTATTCATGAGCAAATCATTTACATAGGTCTTCATGAGCAAGACATAGGAACAAACGTAAAACAGGTGCCATGCCCCATAACACTGTGAATGCTTAATCCCATTGGGTACACTTAGATGGTAGATCTGTAACTGGAAAGGAATAAACACAACCACAAAAAACAGATAAAATAAGAAAAGAAAATGGAGCTATATCAAAGAGTATGGATGGTTAAGAAGGATTGCACCAAAAAGCCTACCTTGGACAAGGAGGCACAATAGAAACTAGCGGAAGTGGCAAACCAGAAAACTTCCTCGCAAAACATTGAAACTGCATTAAGAAAACTTTCCTCACAAGGCAACTGCAAGCAGTATGTAGCAGGGCGAATATCTTCTAAAGCATTCCCTGTCATATGTTCAACCAAAGCTTATTCTAGTCATTTCCAAAGGGAAAACTCTTAAAGAAAAGAAGGCGCATTCCATCATCTAATATAAAAATCTCAAACCATCCATCTGACTAGAAGACTAATAACATGAATCAAGAGTTATAATCCTAGTTATAGGAGTGAGCAACCCTATGATAAAAGAAAAAAAAATTGTGCAAATGAAGGTTTCATCATGCTTGACAAGCGAATCAAAAAATGTATCTATTCTTTCCATACGATTAATATAGTGATTGTTTCCAATACATATGTAATGTGCAGCCTTGTCTCCTTCATATTACACATAAGTTATTTCAAAAGAATGGTACAGCCTATTCTGCCTAAGAAAATACTAGCCAAGGAAATAGAATGAATTATCCTTGGAAGTTGAAGCTGTAAGTTTGATTCCTCTGTAGTCATATTATACTTAATAGATAAACGATCCATTCACTGAAACAGTTTGTGGTTTTCTGAAAACAAGAGAAAGAAAACCACATGCAACAAATCAACCTGAAAATAAAGTGCTTTAAAGTGTTTAGAACTGCTCAATTTTGTGATAGGGAAAAGAAATCTACCCATTCTCCAAAATAGACAAAAAAAAGGTGATCAGAATTTCTGCACTTCTGAAAATTAAGATAAAGTTCTCCAACCCTCCAAACTTGGCAAACAAAGTAATGGGAATCGCCTCAATATTGAGAAATTGAAAAAACTCCTCCAAATATCCAAAATCAACAAAAAAAAAGGGACCCAAATCACCCACTTCTCTATAACTTCTGAAAATTAGAAGAGATTCCTCCATTCTCAGAAATAAGCAAAAAGTTACCATTTTTTAGATTTATATTTATTAAAGCATCCAGTTTTCTGGATATTAAACAAAGTTCCTCCCAATCTCCATATTCAACAAAAACGACACTGATATAACCTGGTTTTCTGAAATTTAACAAAATCCCTACTATTTTGCCAAATTCAGCAAATGCACCTGGATATTGAGACAGTGAATCACATAATTTCAGTTTTAAAAATGACAAGAAAGAGGGAAAACGTTTTTAACACTTCCTAAATCACATCCCTTATTTTAGTTTATTTTATTTACTCAAATCAAAAATGAAAAAGAAAAAACCAAAACCTTCAAGGATTGGAACTGATAACAATCCATAAAATTCATGAACTTTAAATATTGTGAACCGAATTTGAGCAACTGATAATTAATCAAATGATGGCTGAGCCCTAAACGAACAAATATTCATGGAATTAAGCTCGTGAATGGATACAGAAAAAAAAAAGTGGAAATTTGCGAACGCAGCGTACCGAAACTCAACTCCAGAACAGGTGATCGAAGAGAGGGGGTGAAATGTTTGCAAGTAGAGAAAGAAGGGAAAATATTTGTGAAGGAGAGAGAAAGTACCAGTGAGTTCTTTTTTTCACAGCGGACGATGCAAGACAGAGTAAGGGACAAATATTTGTGAATTTTCACGGAAAATATTCGTGAGAGATATTGATTTAGGAGTTTACATGGAAAATATTCGAGATGCGATTGTTTAGAATGAGAACATTTAACTTGGAATAGAGTGGTCACAATTAATTACAACCATTCGATGAGAAATTTGATAGTTTGGATGTGTAACAAAGTTCAAGAAAATAATTTAAATACATAAAGTTATAACTTTAAAATGAGATAAATAGTCTAATTCTATATTTTGCTTTTTATATAGGGTGCGGTTTCTATAAGGTTGCAACTTTACACAATCCAATTAAAGTACACCTCTAAATTTTATCACAACATGTAATTTCGGTATAAAATGTTAGGTTGTCTTAAAATCTAATTTTATATCTAATTATAAAACTTTAAACTTCAAAAATAGTTAAAATCAAGTAGATCTATAAACATATGGAAATCTTGAAAATGGATGGTCAAGATAACGTGTTTCAATATGCACTATTTCTGGGACTCAAAATTTTTTTTTCCATATTCATACATCTCAATGTCGATATGATCCATTAGGAGGTTTTTCAACATTAAAACAACCTTTTCTGATAGATTTTTTAGGCGTATATGTACTTCTACATTTTAAGGTCGCAACTTTATATAAACTTTTTCCTTTTATATAAGGTTGCAACTTTAAAATGTAGAATTAGAGATGTACCTTAAAAATCCATGGAAAAGATTTTGAGTCCTAGAAAGAAACACTGCATTTTATAACATATTATCTATGGGGAAAAGTTTATATAGAGCTGAGGCTCTAAGCAATCAAATTCGAGCCTACTACAAAATTTTCACAAGAAGATGTTGTTTTGGTGCCCAAATATCTTCAAATTGATCATCTTAACATCAAGAAGTATGGACATGAGAAAAAAATGAATATCAAGTTTTGAAAATAGTGTATTTTGTAATGCATTTTTTGACCGTTTATTTTCAAGATTTTCAAGTTTTCATAGACTTGTCGATTTACACTTTTTTTTAAGCTTTAAACTTTATAAATAAAGATGGAAATATATTTTAAGGCTATCACAAAGATTTCCAACATTGAAACCACATTTCTTGATACTATTTGAAAGTAGGTTCTAATTTGATTGTTTAGAGCCTAGGCTCTATACAAATTGCACCCTTGTCTATATTGTCTATTTTCAAAAAAATTATATATTTATAGATCTACTTGATTTTAACTATTTTTTTAGTTTAAAACTTGATAATTAGAGATGAAAATATATTTTCAAATAATCCTAATATTTTTTTACACTAAAATTACATATTATGATAAATTTTAGATATGTGCCTTAATTGAATTGTTTAAGGTTGCAACTTTATAGAAACACGCCCTTTTGAAAATGGAAAAGGGGTTTTGTATTTTACGATAAGATCATATGCCCTTAATATAAGGGAGTCCAAATCTCTATATGGTGATTGGATTCGCAATTGGATGGCCAAGATAGTGCCATTAACCAGGCTTGAAGGCAGCAGGATTTCAAATCTGATGGCTAAGGATGATTGTTAGCGTTTAAATATCAAAGATGAAAGGACTAATAGTATACAATAGAAAACTTCTCAATGACTTAAATGTCGATACAAAAAAAAAATTTCCAATTCTAAAAGAATTGGACATGAATAATAAAAGAGTTTTAAATTCTAAAAAAAGAAAAAAAAAACCCATCTTGTAATACATTATATAAACTTCTATTTCCAATGCTTTCAGGCTTATATCAAATTTCAAAATGTTCAAGTATATATCAAGAGTAAAAAAAATTCATGACTTCTTAACTTTTTTTCTTTCTTTTCTTTTAGAATTTTAAATTTCATAGGTTTTTTTTTTTTTTAGAATTTTAATTTTCATAATTGGGGTATATGGCCTTTCGTATAGAGTTCACCTTGTTTGTTGTCTATTTTCAAACCATTGTATGGGTTTCTACCCAAAGGCCTCAGGTTTCATTCTCTGCATACTTAAAGTTCCAAGAGAGAGAGCTCAACTTGTGTTTGCAGTGTCCACACGAGTGCAGTATGCACACAAGTGGCCACAAGAGAGAATGGGAGAGCTGAACTCATGTATCCACACCAGAGGAGAGAATCTTATCCTTGGTTCAAGGGAAATTTTATCAAATTGCTCATGACAGATGAATAATTGAACATTTTATCGAATCTTTTAATTTAATTTTAAAATACTAAAGAAACGTATGATCTTGAATTGGAAGAGTTGCAAATAGGTAAAATATTAAATATTTTATCTTAATTCAATATCAAAAACAGTAATATATTCATGATGTTTCCCAAATTTTACTCCAATCACGGAAAAATATTAAATATTTTATCTTAATTCCATATAAAAAACAGTCATATATTCATGATATTTCCCAAATTTTATTCCAATCACCTGTTCACATTGGTATAGGAAAAATCAAACCGGAACACTTAACTGGACATGGGCTTGAAAGCGGTTCAACCGGTCTAACCAATAAACCGACCAGTTCAACCGCTCTAACCAAGTAAATCCCAAAAGATCAAAAGTGTAAAAAAAAATACAAAAAATACAAAAAAATCCAATAAAATATAAAAAATATATCTAACAAATCATTAAACAAAGCAAATCCAAATGAAATTCAAAATTAATAATAAAAAAAAATGAATTTTAAATAATCAATTTGTGCCATGTGTATTTTTGAAAAAAATTTAAAAAAATGGGAAAATATAAAAATAAATATTTATAGGCAAAAACAATTACTAATTTTTTATATAATGATGAAAAACATTTTAAAAAAATACATTACAAACAAAATCCCTTATTTTTTAAAATTTTATATATTTTTTTCAAAAATACTTGACCACCGGTTGAAACCAGAACCGCCGGTGGCTGATTCCGATCTAACCAAGCAATTACCCATTAAAACAGCCAACTTTTCCAACAATGGTTCACATTTTCTTCTGCCCTGCAGTTCACCATCCTAAAGTCAATTGGTAAAACCAATGATTTAAAAAACACCAGGTCGGCACAAAATCACCTAGTCCGACTCAAGAATTCCGATTTTGCATATATATAGAAAAACTGTGAGTGTAGAAAGGAACCGATTATTCTACACAGTAAAATGGCTATTCTCCATGGTAAAACAACGATCTAGACGGCCAACTCATTGATCCAAACCGGTTTTTGGCCTGGTCACTATTTTTTCACATATTTTTTCGTCGGTTCACCATTTTTCTGCGCAATAAACGGCAATCCAGACCACCGATTCACCGATCCAAACCGGTTTTGAGGTGTCAGTTCAGGGTCACCGATCCATTTTTTAAATCACAAGGGCGTTCATGTAACTGCCACAAATCCTTAGTTACCATCAATGGGTCTCTATTACAAAACTTTTATTAATCATGCAAGGCCAGCAGCTGAGAGAAACCATGTCTAAAATCACCACAAAAATATGCAATCAACATTCATTGACTGCTTGTTCCAAATATCATAAAAAACAAATAACGTAAAGAAGGAAAAATGGAAAGACTGTAAATCCTTTCATGAATTTTTCCAAACAAAAAAAGTAAAAGAACGGCCATGGTCATCATCGCAGTATAAGGAAAACATCTCTCCAACCGAAAACTCATGCAAACATCTCTCTAACTCAGAAGGCCACGCTGCTTGAAAACTTCATGCATAGCAGCTCCAATCTTTGCTGGTGATTCAACAACAGTCGCGCCTACCTCTCTTAGGGTTTTGATCTTATCTTGGGCCGTGCCCTTTCCGCCAGCTACAATGGCTACACCGAAATAAATAAAATTCCATGTCAATATCCCCAAAGATAAAAAAACCTGCCAAAGAATAGTATTGAAACATCATTGAAAAAATATTATTAACAATGCAATATTCGTTTAATGTAATAGTTTCGACAAATATTGTTGAAGAAATTATTTCAAAATGTTATCATTAAAGAAATATTGGATGGTGTACAATGAAAACATACCTTTCGTACACAAAGGTCACAAACATCCCAAGCCGTAAGATGTAAAATCAGACGGCTGGGGTGCGTCAGTTCTCATCACAAAATTTGAGGAAATTTTTTTCGAAATTTGTAACATGGTCAGTGTTCACACCCCCCAGCAGCCCGATTTCATATCTGACGGCTGGGGAGATTATCACCTTCATGTATGAAAGGTAAACGGTCAATTTCTATACTTTTCAAAGAAATATTATCTCAAGAAAAAAAGAATACCTCCAGCATGACCCATGCGACGACCTGGTGGTGCTGTTAGACCCGCGATGAATGCAACAACGGGCTTTTCGGTTCCACTTTCCTGTTAGTATTAGTAATCAACCGAAGCAAGAATCAATATTTTCTCTTTTATCAGAAAAAAGAAACATACTGATTCCATTTATGAAAATAAGAAAACTTGCGTACTAAAAAACTGATATTGATGGGCATGTGGATATCAAAATACCTGGTATTAGATAAACACGTGTTTGAGAAGTATATATGCATTTTACTCTATTATATGGCAAAACTTGCTCCATAGTTTCAAACTCTGATTCACATTCATGTTCAATGGCCATGATATGAAGTCCAATATGAGCCTCAACTATTCAAATGTATACCCAATAAGGCATATTGCTATGGTGAAGAAATCATGAGCACCTATCAAATTGACTAACTAGAACGAAATAAATAAATAACTCACCTCAATGAGGCTTTGTGAGGCATAACTTTGGTAGGGGCCAAGCTAAGGGATTAGGTTTTACGATTAAATATGGTTGTAGATCAACTCTTAGGCCAATCCAGAGAAGGTTTGGAAGGGGCTTTTTATTTTTTCCAACAAGAGTGAAATGTTTGATGTGGCATTGTATTCTCGTGTAGTTTCAGTACAGCAATCACTTTATAAAATATGATTGTAAGATACTGAAGTGTATCCCATCTCATCCTAAGGATACCATATTCAAGTGCACTAAGTGTACAAACCTTTATCAAAGCTGCAGCATCTTCTTCTGCAGTTCCTCCAATCTCTCCAATAAGGACAATACCTGAAATGGAAATACAACTTTTTAAAGAATAATTGGATTAGAAATTTATAGTATCATACTAGAGTAGGTCTAGGTGAATTGATTGTTCAGATGTTTTCAATTGGAAAGAAAGATATTCGAAGCCAAATTAGGTATAGAACTCCAACCACTACGCTATGGGGGGTCACAATTATTTTTCATATATCCAATAAACCATCAAAATAAGCATTTAAGAAATCATGTTGCCATCCAAAACTCAGTATGTAGTGGAAAAGAAAAAAGAAATCTCCACTGTTCTTCCAAAATCACAGAAGAGCCAAATAAGAAATGCCAGGCATGGAAACATAAAAGCAAGACTCAAACCACTGGTTTGTAACCATAACGATAGCACATAACATCTCCATTACTTCACAACGATCTAATCGTGGGTGACAATGATGGCAAAACATTAGCAAGATTAAAATAATTAGAGGTACTGCCGGTCTAATGCAGATAGTACTTATGGTTAACTATTAGACCCACTCAATCAGTTTTAGCTTCCTCTATAAATTGTGACAAAGGTAGTATGAACACATAATGAAGAAACGTGAACTAAATCAGCAGCTCTTTTGACAAGGCCTGAACCAAGTTACAAGAATTGAAAATTTATTCTCTTCCTAGTACAGAATAGAAAGAGAAGCAAAAAACTACCATTACAGTCTCCAAGCAATTCACTATCCAAATTCTTCAATGCTAAAAACACATATAAAGTAGTAAATAAAAACTTGCATCAAGTCAGAAAACTCGCCCAAGTGAACTCGACTCGTTTAGTGGGTGATTTATAAATGAAAAACTAGGGATGTGTTCTACATTTCAGCAAACACTAGGGATGTGTTCCAGTCCCTCAATATATAATTTTTTATGTTGTTTTTTATTAATATATTGCTTTTTCCAATATGGTAGCATCATGGTATACCCTAATAATTAAGCTGGGTTTGATTCCCATAATCCCATTACAGATTTTTTTTCCCTTAAATGTTTCACACAAATATATGAAAAATTCAACGAGTTTTTAAGAGTTAACCATTTGATTTGGCGAGTTGACTCAGTTATGGCAGTGACCAAGTCAGGCACCAAGTTCAAGTTTTTGAATGCTGATTTAAAAATTCGCAGCAATTTAGATATCACTCACTAGACCAACAATACTAAGCCACCCATCATATACAGTTCACTGTTGCAAGCAGTTTAAGAGTCTTAGAGCCTGGAGATTTGTAGCATTTTGAGCTTCCCCTTTCTTTTTGTGCAAAGCACATGTATGTAAAGAGTATTACACGAGTGCATATCATCTGCTGCAAAGGAATGCACAGCAACATAACTATGAAAAAAAAGATGTATCCTAACCAAAAGTCGGTTTATTAATTATTATACTTGATAACCAAGGTGTACCTTCAGTCTGAGGATCTTCAAGGAATTTCTTTATGCAGTCCACAAAGTTGGTGCCATTAAAAGGGTCACCTCCTATACCCACACAAGTAGATTGCCCTAGACCCACAGCGGTGGTTTGGAAAACCTGAAGTAGAAAGGCGATGCAAATCAATTTATGAATGTCACCATGTGTATGCACATATGGATGAACACACACAATCCAAAACAATTAACCTTCAAAACATTCATCTGACCTAATACAGAAACATACCGCTTCATAAGTCAAAGTACCAGATCGGGAAACAATTCCAACACGTCCAGGCTTGTGAATATAACCAGGCATGATTCCAATCTTGCACTCCCCAGGCTTGATGATACCTGGGCAGTTTGGCCCAATCAAACGAGTCTTGGATTGCTTGTTCAGAGCAGCTTTCACACGTACCTGCCATTGAAAGGGAATTGCCACAAGATATTCAAGTTCTGTAACAATGTTTACTGATCAAACACCATACAATCAATGAAGAAAACAATTTGCTAACCATAAAGCATATGACCTTTTAGTCTTGTACCCTAGGTTGCAGGTTCAAATCTATAACTTAAAACTGTGCAACCACTGAGCTGGTAAGGATTACAAATAAGGAAAAATAGAAGGGATTGTATACAATGAGAGCATTTATCTTTGATACAAGGTGGTCACAATTCCTTACAACCATGAGATGTGAAATTTGATAGTTTGGATGTGTCACAAAGTTTGAGAAAAATTCTTTTGAAGTTTAAACTTGGTCAATGGAATAATTGCAACCATCCAATGCCACATCCAATGGTCAACATTAATGTGGCTACCTTGTATCAAAGGTAAATGGTCTCATTCTATACTTTCTCAAAATAAAAAAGGTAAAGAAAGATTCAACGATAACACCCTTATAAGAGATAGGAGAAGATCCCACCCTGCCCTTCTCTTCTGCCAGGGGTGGGGGGTGGAGGATGGGTTGCGGTTTCGGAGGAGGGGAGACTAAACCATAACACCCCATTTTCTTTTAAATAAATAACAAAACACCACACAAGTGCACCTAAGGTTCTGACAAATGAATAAGTATCCTCTTGTTCGGAATACTAACCCCCCCCCCAAGCTCTCCTTCTTTCGCTTCCTTTTTATCCGGCAGTCACCATAAAGAGTAGGTACTTCATATTTCCTCACAAGATATGCCCTTAACCATGCATTGCAAAACATTTGCGTGCCATGTCACACTTACGTGCCACTTAGCCCACAAACAAAGCATAAATAACTAACATAAAAAGTGACTCAGGTACGATATGTGCCAAAAATAGCAAATATGCACACAAAGAGATTCACCAATAATAGAAAAAGAAAAACCACACTTAAAGCGAACAGCACTCTACCATGTCATGCTGGGGGATGCCCTCAGTGATGCATACAATCAGGTCCAATTCAGCCTCCATTGCTTCCATTATCGCTGCTGCAGCAAATGGTGGGGGCACATAAATCACAGATGCATTTGCTTTTGTTTCCGCCTTTGCTTCTGCAACTGAGTTGAAAACAGGAAGCCCAAGGTGCTCTGTACCACCTTTTTTTGGTGTCACCCCACCAACCTATTCGAAAACCAAAAAAGGACAAACATCGACATCAAAGTAAGTCATTCACTTAACTTGGACAAATAATAATAATGATTCAGCAGAGTGAATGGTAAAAGCTATTTTCAAACTAAATCGACTGTTCGGCAATGTAAAATGGCATTGGGAGTCACCCCATAAAATGATAATAGAATCATAAATTTGTACATCTTAAAAATATAAATAAACCTAACTGAATTTTCTTCATTTATTCGCAAAGACAAAATATTGAACTTGATCAAAAGAAACAGCCCGAATAAAACCAGGATTAACACTGTCATACCAAGTTGAGCAAAAAAACAAACAAGAATGCAGTAATTTATCTCTTTCTTCTTCTCAGTATCTAAGAGTTACAAACAAGTAAAACAAAGAAGAACGTCCAGAGTGCCCAGATGAGGCCTGGATGGGCCTCCTTGGGCACACTGTCACTGGGAGGAGTGCAGCAGGTACCAAGGTGGTTGTCTAGCACCTAAGCCTGGGCATTGGCCTAGGTCATGACTAGTCTGAAAGTGGAAAACTCTTTTTGAGACGGAAAAAATCCCTAGAAATTTGAAAATTCATCTCAAACCTTAGCCTTTTCATTAAATTCATTTGAATTATCAAGAAAGGTTCTAAGAAGAATTTTTGGATAGAGCTTGCCATCCAAAACACCAAGGATCATAGATAGGGCAACAAATGTTCGTAAAATCTCTTCTGATTTGAGACCCCTTCTTTCTTTCTTTGAAATGCCTTTTACGGGTTCTAATAGGAGCAGGGATCCAGGATAGAGATATGGTTTTTGCATGGATAAAAATGATAAGAACAAAAATTGCACGACTTCAGTGGTAAAGATACAAATGCATATCTATAGATTTAAGGAAAAATTGCAGTATTAGTGAGGATGTTGCTTCATGAAAGGAAGTTCAGATGTTAGGAAGGAGATACTAGACTATTTGGATGTCTATATCAAACTATTTGGATGTTGTACACATATGGGGACTTATAGCTTCACTGAGGATATGGCGGACCAGGATTCGCCGACCCCAAATAGTTGGGAAAAGGTCTGATGATGATGACACATAAACTGATAGTTTGTATACATTTGCATGCCAATGGTAGAGCAACATGGGAACTTATGATGGATGGTCATCCGAATTTTAGCTTATGCATTTGCCCATAGGTGCATAATAAGATAAGGAGCAGGCTTGAGCAAAATAGGCTCAATGATTTAGTCTTCGTCAAATATAGTTAGAGGCTAAAGGACATGAGAAAAGGGAGCTGCTGCATCCAAAGACATGGATGATGCCATTTGAGTGGTTAGTTGAAGTACATCAAATTGAAGAGGTATTCCCTGATGAAAGCTTGATTTGGGATATTTGAGGAGGCCTTAAGGCAAGTTTCTGACTCTAGAAGGCCAACTAGATCGACAACGACTACTACTATTGCTTCACATGTTTGAGAGCAATGGAGGAGGATGGCCATTCTATTGGAGAGGGTGATGATTCTGATGATAATGACCTTGAATCGAATGGAGGTACTCAAGACGAAGCTAATGATTACAGAAACAATGAAGATTGAAGAATAAATTGTTTCTTTTGTATCTATGATTTTACTTTTATGATTTCCACTACGTTGTGAATTGGAATGTAAATGGATTTGTCATCTTCTTGAATTTCAATATTCGAGTGCTTTGTGGCATTGGACCTGATGTGGAGTCATTACCTTTTCTCTTTGTAGTTGTTTTAGGAAATATCAAAAAGAGTGCACTTTCAATATCTTGGATCGATAATCCAAGAAAATTGAGAGATTGAGGAAAATGTCACATATAAATTAGAGCTGGGGTAGGCCCAAAAGGACATAGTTGGCAGTAGTGAGCAAAGATAAAGGAACTTATAGCCTCACTGAGGGTATGGCCCTTGATAGTGCAGAATGGCGAACCAAGATTCATGTAGCCAACCCCAATTAGTTGGGAAAAGGCTTTGATGATGATGATGATGATACATTCACTGATTTATCACAATTGTCAAATGTGATTCAATGATTCCATTGTGTGTGTGTAGAATGCGTGCATGTGTATTTGTATGTATGTATGCATGTACGCGTGTATCTATATACACGCATGTGTGCATATGCACGCATTTGAATTGCACATATATGCATATGTATGTGCCTAGGGCGCCTTGAAACCTGGGGGCCGCTTGGCGCCAAGGCAGCCAAACACCACCTTGGCTACCTAGCATTGCACAACGTTCTTTAGAACATTGTAAAAGAAAACCAAACCGAAAGAGATTATCACCTCTAAATATGCTATTTTAGAGAGAGAACAAAAAAAAAAAAATTCTACTGGACCGCCCAGGTTCTGGGCGCCCGCCCAAGTTCTGGGCGCCCGCCTAGGCGCTGGGCAGCCTGGATGTCCCCGACCGCCTAGGAACCGCCTAGCGCTTTTTGAAACACTGGATCACACTACTCTGGAGGTCCCCCACAACTCACCTTTCCTAATCTCCTTTTATATTCCATGAAAATCCCCTAAGATCTGTATCCTCATTCATAAATCACAATGAAGCGACAAGGTCGATAACCACCTCACCACGAACGATTTAGGTTTAAACATATCTAATAAAACACACAAATCAAACTATCCTCTTACATGGTGAGTTATTATTGAAAGAGGATGACTGATCCCAATGCACCCACTAAAGATATCAAATCCCTCAGCAAAACTCAAGCTCCAACAATAATAAACATGACAGACTATGAAACACCGTCAAAACAATTAAGATAGGAACCAATCAACCATTCACCAAATGGAATGAAAGCTATCGAATTGCCCAAATCAAACCTCTCCAACTCACCCAATATATCATTTGCAATCAAATTGCCTACTCTGTATGTACCCTCTCTAATCTAGCCTAACTAAAATCATTTGTCCTCTACTCATGGCCTTGACATCTAATGCTTAAAAAAAGAGGCAAATTCTTACAAACTAACAACAATATTTATATATAACACTCAGCCTGTCGTGATTATCATAATGCCCAAACATTCACCACGATCATAGGCTCACCTGAAGCCATAGAACACTACAACACTTGGATAAAGCAAAAAAGAAAAAAAAAGAAAAGCAAATTAATTTATCACAAAGACCATTGTGGTTTGTTATATTCAAACGAAGGAAAAGAGTATATGTCATAATCAATCCCCAATTCCCATCGTCAGTCTCAAAATGGAAGAGAAAGTTACATCCTCTCCTAAAATATGGCACAAGAGATAGACACCCAAACAAAAACCGAACCGCATTTCTCATTTTGATTAATAAAACAAACCCAATCACCAAATCACAGTGAAATCAAGCCATGGGAGAGGACTTCAATTGCCATAGGAATAAATTACAACACAATAAAAAATTTACCCATTGATCATACGAATCAAAAGATTAAAGATGACCCATGGTCATAAGAATAAACTAAATCACAAGCAATATGCTCCATATTTTTCATTCAAACTCAATTGTAGAAGCCCAAAGCCCAATTATAGAAAACTAAGAGAAACCCAAACCCATATTCATGGTAATACATAACAGAACCATTGTAAATGGGGAATAAAAGAACTACCATTTTTGTTCCATATTCAATCGCTTGCTCGGTGTGGAAGGTGCCATTTTTTGCCTGTAATTCCTTGACAAATGACCCTTGTGTTTTTGTCAACAAAGACAGGAGGAGGAGGGCTTGCAGCAGCGGCTGCGAAGCCCCGGGAGCTGGCAAAGGACATGGATCCTTGCTCAGGGAACAAATTTAGGGCAGCCCTTGATGCCAAACCCACCATTTTCACGGCCTTTCGAGCCATGGCCAAAAGCTTCTCTGATCCTCTCTCTCTCTCTCGATCTTAGAGAGACAAAATGGAAGCCTCTTTACAAAATCTCTCTCTACTCTCTCCCTCTCTAAAGGGGCTCAGAAACTATCAAAAAAGACTGCACAGTCCACAAAAGGAGGGGGAGAAGAAAATTACTTTTTAGTTCGAAAATTATGGAAATGACTCCTTATTCTTTTCCCTAATGACGAATATATCCCCGATGGGAGTAAAGATACTCTGATACGTTTCTCTCAATGGTTTAAAAAACGGATC